TACCAGTGTCAAGTTGATGCCTATCAAAAGGATGTACAGAAAGCCAAGATAATCTCCAACCCGTTAGCTGTGATTGTACACAAACCTGGTAAATACAGCTACTAATTCAAAAAAATAATGTATGTAAGGTTCATTCTACATCAAAAATGTGGACATACTTCATACCGTCTTTATAATCATATATTTTATATCTTAAGGCATATTCCTATGCTGAAATGCTTGCAATTAGTTTTGAAGACAAATATAAATTGTGCTTTCATATGAATTTCTTTCCCGTTTTTATGTTTGGTTGAACTGCATGGTGAAACAGCCAACAAGTGTACAGCATAATTCCTGTTTAAAAGAATACTGTTTAAAAGAATCCCAGGATGCACCTCATACAATTGGTTGAGTGAATGTCCTGAGTGAACAGAGCTGTAATCTAAAGAAGCTCAAATCTAAGAGAGTTTGGACACACACTATGTGTCTTTAACGAATATGTACATAGTTGTTACATTGTAATTATAAAGGAAAACCATATAATTACACATGTAATCACAATTTTGACCATACTACAAACCTAAACTTACTATAAATCCCCTTTCCCTATTCCAACCCGTATTCCAACTTGGTCACATTTTATTTTGAATATATCCTTGTTACAGTGTAATTACACAAATATGTATTGAGTAAATTAACAATATTTTCAGTCATGTGACTGGTGTGGAGACCTGGAGGGCAAAACATCCACTGAACTGCAGTACAGGCCTCTCAATTTTCCATCTGTCCAGCAACATTTGGACTATTTCACCACTCTAGAGAAGAAAACAATTATATGTGAACAAACTGCAAGTTCTACCCATATACAGAACCAGACAGAGTTTTTCAGCCACTAAAAAGAGGAGTCATTCTAAAGCGCTTAGGATGAAAAATGCTTAACCTGCCTTAAAGTACTTTATGATCCTTATTCTATACAGGCAAGCAGATGAGCACAGAATATGAACGCAACAAACAAAATGGAAAAATTCTTAACATGAAACATTTGCGTGTTCTAGTGCATGTTCTTGCCTGTAATATATACAGTAGTATGTGTCATAAATAAGGTGGGTTACACTTTATTTTGATAGCCCACTTTAGACATTCTACTAACTATAAGTAACTTTGCAACTACAT